ATAACCTTACTTTATGCATCAGTTACTTATGGAATAAAAAGTAAATATTTTTATATGTTTTGATTGTGCTTAGTATTTAGGAGTTTAACTAGATGATGTATGATTTAGATTTGAAAGACACAAGAGACTTTTAAGAAGGGATAACTTCCCAACCTTTCATTCCATATGCTATGACACACTAAATGGTATTCCACATCAGCAGTGCCCAGCAACAGGGAATGGAAGTCTTTGTGGAGCCAGGACAGAGCCAGAAGCTGAAGTTTTGATGGCTTGTAAGACACAAACCCCCACACAGAGAAAGTCTATCCACATGCGGTGTAATTCAACAGCTCTTCACTGTGTTAGTAGTATATGTTCATACAATTATCAAAATAAGAAATACACAAAAACTCCAGATGCCAAAAAAAAAACCCCCAAAAAACCCTGGATTCTAAATAGTCACAATAGTGCCCAGGAGGAGAAAAATAAACTTTTTCTATTTCTAAAATAATCACATTGGTCTCAGTAATAGATGCTTCAGCATTTGTATAAACAGAGCACAAATGGCAATTATTTCAGCAAGAACAGCATGGCCACAGGGCTTAAGAAGAAATATCACCTTCTCATTGAAGCCCTCCCTGACTACCCCATTTAAATTCTCTAGTTCCCAAGACTTCCCTATTCCCTTTTCCTGTTTTATTTTCCTCCAAAGCATAAACCATGATCTAACATATCATATGCTTTACTTCTATGTTTACATATTTGTTTATTCACTGTTTGATCCCTCGACTAGAATGTATAATAAGGCAAGAGTTCTTTGTTTTGTATCCAGCTATACTCCCGGGACCTACAACAGAGCCTGGCACATTGTAGGCATTCAACTAAATAAGGGAATGAATAAACGTTTGGAATGAGGAATCACTGCCAGGGATTTCCTTTAGAAAACAGGCATTTAACTAAATAATGCAACCTCTTAAATGATTATAATATTTGTCTGGTTCAGAAAGCACATATTGAAAATTAAACTAATGCATAATTATAAAGAATTTTAAAAGAGCTACACCATGTTGAGAATTAAAATGACATAACTGTAACTTTATTATAAGCAACTAAAAATACAGGAAGAGAGGTATGAAATGTAACACAATCACATTAGCTTTACCTGCATGCTAAGTCTAGAATAAGCCAACTATGATGATGACAATGAATGTGACTGAAGCCACATAGGAAGAGAAGTGGATGAGAGACAGGGAAAAACCAAACCTGAGAAGAAAAATTTCCTTTTACCTAGGAACGTTATATGAAAACAGAAGAATCACTCGGTTAAAGAGGTTTAAAAAAGAGAAAATGGTGATAAGAACAAAAGAAAAATTAAAAGGCAAAGCTGTCAGTGTACAAGAAAAAAGAGGCCACAGGAGTTTCTAGTCATTCAATTACCAAAGAGTACATGAAACGTGCACAAAGTGCCTCTTAAAGTCAGCGAGGCTTTAATGGATCCTGGAATGGCTATGGAAATGGACATCTATTTACTGTAATGAAAAACCCTGTAGCTATAGACTTTCCAGTAGGTGCTGATCACTGTCTTTTTTTTCCTAGTTGACTAAGTCCCCTGTTATCAAGAAACCGAGTCCATTTTTTAAGTACTAGAGTGTTGCCACTTTGACTTCCAAAGTAATCACTTAAAACTGGAAAAGTACTTATTTTCAGAAGATAAAAATGTACTTTTTATATTATAATGCTGCTCAAGAAGTTTTAAGGGGTTACAAATTAAGGTAGCCATGAATACATGAAGAAAAGTTTTATTTGAACATCCAGAAACATTGACTTTGAAATTATGAGAAAATCATAATATTAAAGAAAAAACAATAATGAAAATGAACAATGTAATATTAATGATTAAGGCGTAGGAGCAATATTTGAGCTGGTTACTGGCTAATATTCACCTCAATTTAACAAATGGCTAATATTCACCTCAATTTAACAAAGAACTGTGATTCTGCACATGGTAACTACAACTTACTCTATATAAAGATAGTGCTAATT